CAGCAACAGATTTTATCCAGCTTGTCGTTGGTTCTTTCGGCTGAAGAGGAAAGTTACGGATTGGCCACTCCGACAACTTCTCTAGAACGCTTTGAACTGGCGTTAAAGATGACGTGGGCGTAGTTTTATACTTCGGGTGTTTTGGTTTATGGTCGAATGAAAAGATGACAGATTTACCAAGCACCACCAAAACCACACCTCCGTCAGATCTGGCAGATTCTGATTGGATCAGTAAAGCAATGTGTCATGTCTTAACGCTACGTGAGATCAGTCCTAGTGGAAACATTTAAAGTCATATTACTTATTATATTCTATAGAATTATAATATAGTAATTAATATTTTGATTTCACAGATTGGTCACATCTTATTATTGACTAACACTTTGTTTGATTAGCTTTATTAAAATAGAGTTCTTTGATTTATTAAAAGGAGAGAGTCCTTTCTTCATTCTTCTCTTGAGCTGGAAAGAAGCAAGTTAGAGCACATGCATGAGACCTTGAGGCCATATCTCATGCAGACTAGTTCTGCATCAGAGGAGAGGGGGAGAATTACTTTTGGTGGAAAACAGTCATTTCATTCCGTTACAATAGCGTTAACTTAGAAGGCAGAAAAATATGCTAACATTTAGCAATCAAATACGCAGACATTTACTGCTTTCTTGACTGTTAGCATGTTAACAGTTGCTGTTATGGACAATTAAAAAGTCATATTAGGGCAATTGTTAAATGGCAAAAGGACAATGAAAAATAACACAACTTGTAATTTTATATGATTCAGCACAATAAGATGATGCTTTCTTAGCTGTGTTAGCATGCTAGCAGTTGCTATTAGAACCAGTCACAAAGTGTTGTTAAAAACTCAAACACAAGTCTCAAAATCAGTCAGTCAAAACAATATAATTAAGATACAAACTTAGGAAATCTATCAATGTTAGCAGCAGCGTAGCCAGAAACTGCATTTTAGCCGAGTCAGATAAAAATAGGTGGGCCAAATAAATGTCACTGAAAATAACACACACACACACACACACACACACACACACACACACACACACACACACACACACACACACACACACACACACACACACACACACACACACCTGGTTTGCAGAACTCTAACTGAGAATGCTGTAAGCTTGTATGCTAATGTTTAGCATGCTTATACGTTAACACAAGACAACGGGGGCGAGGGCCAACACTTTAATCTACTGAACAATCCAGTCTAAAATGACCATGTTTTCTAAAGAGTGAGTTTAAACATGCAACGAAATAAAACAGTTATTGCAAACAGGAATACACAGCAGCCAAAGGAGGCTATGTGTTCCTGATTTCAAAATAAAAGCAAAAACTTATTTTTTCTTCTGCGTTTCTAACATTTTACACACTCAGGGATCCAGCCGCTGAAAACATTAAACACAAAGTAAAAAAACAGACAAGAAAAGACAAAGTCAAGTATTTAGCAGCAAAGTAACAGCATTACTACAGCATGATGGAAAGAGGAAGCAGCTTAGTGTTGGTATCAGAACATTGGTTCTGCATACAGATACAAAGTGACATTAATGAGGAAGTTTCCTGCGATTCTCCATGTTGACCTTTACACTAACGACCAGGTGGAAGAGGCGCGGCGCCAGCGGTAGTTTGTTCTTCTGTGAGATCATGATGTTTCCATGTGATGAGGTTCCTCACTAGAACACAAAAGGTAAAATTATTATTGTTAGAATTTTAAAGAGCAAGTCACCCCCAAATCAACTTTATTTTCTGATAAACTATATAAATGTGTGTCTAATTGTGCTGCAGACACTGTAGTCAATAGTTTAGCACTTTAGTGCATTTTAGTTACAATTTGACTTTTCTGCCTAAAACTGTCAGTGTTGTGCCGTCATCAGGTAAAAACTGCTCTGCATTTGAATTTAAATCTGCCATCGCTATTGGCTAAGAGGTACCCTAGAACATTAGCTGGTGCCATATGATGTCACAATGTTGTTGTGAGCCTGTGTGTGTGTGTGTGTATTTGTTACCGGCTCCGCCATTTAGCGTTTGCTAGGCAACAGCATTTGTTGCATTTTTCAAACAGGAAGTGGGAGTGGAGTAAGAATCTGGTAGGGGGTGACTTGCTCTTTATATAAACTTTCAATCTAGTTATTTGTACACCTGAGCACATGGAATTCCGTCAAACACTTTTGTCAGTTTTAATATCGTGTGAATATTTTATGTTTAAATGATAAAACTGTGGAAACAAAAGCTTTTCTTAATTTCAAGAGACTGTCTCCCTCTGGTGTCCAGTTTCTAGGACAAACATGGTTTTAGTAAATCACTGAAGGGATTATTTAGATGTCTTTGTAAATGTTTAACTTTTAATATGTTAAAATCGTTTTCTTTTTCTTTCCTTTGTTTTAAAAAGATGGTTCTGGTTTAATTTCCTCCTTCATTAATGCCGAAGCATCCTAACCCTGCATCCAATCAAAATGGGATTGTCTTAGCGGAGCCTGAACTTTTAAGTTTCAAAGTTTAAGCAGACAGGCGGGAACATGCAGCTCATTTGTTTGAGTGCAAACACTTACAACACGTCAAATTTCCTCTTTGCTCTAAATTAAATCCAGCATGTTCCAGCAGAGCCTCTGGGATCAGATTAAAGTCTGCAGGATTCCCGCCGACTGCAGCTCCGTGTAAACCCCAACGAGGATTTCAAGGTTATGTAAGACGACAAAATGGGAATTCACTGAGGTTTCTCAGGAGTTGTCATGGGGTGGGACATGGAGCTGGGTCAAACATGGTGGACGTCACAGGACGCCGGGGCTGAAGGCGACATTACTACACAGGAAGGTCCCAAGAGGGTAAGACTAGCAGGTAAATGAGAGTGATGTCTCATGGCTGAAGGGTTAAAGGAGGATAAATGATAATGATGATGATTTTGGGTGTGATTACATGCTTACATGTTATAGATGCTGCACTGAGCTCCAGCTGGGTCGCCTGGGGGAGTCTGTGTGGTGCTGGAAATGTATTAAGGTCAAACTTTAAAAAGAAACAAAACAAATGTTTCTGCAGGTTTTTGTCTCTAGAGTTCAGCTGTAATATGAACTGATGCTGCGTGAGAGGGTCTGCGAGCTCACGGGGCAAAAGCAGAAATGAGTGGTCAGTAAAAAGTCTCACTGAAACGTTGGATCTGACAACATCACACTTTCTTCTCGATGTATAATACATCTTTTCTGTAAACGCGGGAAAAAACGTGTATTTTTGTGGATTAGTTACAAATAAAGTTAATTAATTTCAGTGTCTTTAAAGAGCAAGTCACCCCCAAATTAACTTTTTCTAATAAACTATATAAATGCGTGTCTAATCGTGCTGCAGACACGTGTAGTCAATAGTTTAGCACTTTAGTGCATTTTAGTTAAAATTTTAATTTTCTGCCTAAAACTGTCAGTGTTGTGCCGTTGTCAGGTAAAAACTCTACACTGCAATTGAATGTAAATCTGCCATCGCTATTGGCTAAGAAGTACCCTAGAACGTTAGCTGGTACCACATGATGTCACAATGTCGTTGTGAGTCTGTGTGTGTATTTGTTAGCGGCTCCGCCCTCTCGGTCTGCTAGGCAACAGAATTTGTTGCATTTTTCAAACAGGACGTGGGAGTTGAATAAGAATCTGGTAGGGGGTGACTTGCTCTTTAAGCTCATCTAGATTTCACAGCAACCTAAATAAAACATCCTGTTTTTCATAAATCGCTCTTGTTAAAAAAAATTCTAAATCCAAATTTCAAGTTGAGAGAAATGACCCCGTTTAAAACGCATAAATAATGATGCGTTTACGTGAAAACACCTGATTTGTTCCGTTTCTATTATTGTATCCAAGTGTTTCTGTGTAACAGTCACATAACCATCCAAACATCTGATAATAGTTAATTATGCTTAATATTTTAAAAGCTTTGTGTGTTTTGAGGTACGTGTGAATGTTGGAGACTCTTATTGTGAAGGACGACAGGACATTATCAGCTGTAAAAGTAATAAACATACGTCACCATGCGTTCTAAAGCTTGGGATGTAATAATATTAATAATGATCATAATAACAAAAATTCTACAAATAAGGATTCATACACCTAAAAACTTTTTTCTCCACATCTACACTTAAATCTCGACACTCGTTCCTCCACTGTTCCCTCTCACCGGCACAAACAGCCGCTCGAATAAAATGCCTTTACGTCATTTATTTGGCTAAATTCTCTGCTGATCAGAATTCTTGTTCGTTAAAGTTGAAAACTTCCCTTCACAGAGGTGAAAGTTTCAACAATGTCCTAATATTTACAGAACTGGCTTAATCAGTACTTGGTTTAGCTTAGCTGAGCATAAATATGTTAACAATTGTGAAGCTAAAAGATGCTAAAAATAGCATTTTTGTCCAGACATGTTTTTGTTAATAATTGCAAAAACTGCCTAATGTGCTGAACAATACACAAAAATAAAAGTGATTAAAAACTTTGAGCATAGTGTGTTAGTTAGCTGTTAGCTTCTACAGCTAAAATGCTAACAGCTATTGACGCTATTGTTTCAGGCAGGTAAGCTAACCGTGTGGATCATTGATATTAACAACGACACTTTTTATCTTACAACCTTTTATAACAAACTCTTTGTAAACAGCTTAGAAATAATTTTTTCACTTCAGTTTGGAAAGGTGTTTTTTTTTCTGGCTGTACTCTTCTAATAAAAGAGTTTAAAAGTTAAATCTAATTTCACTTTTATTGAATCTAGTCTAAAGAATTTGAGAATGACTGTTAGGGCTCTGACTGTAACTCATACACATAGTGGGGTTTTCCCTAAAAGACCCCGATATTAAAGATTTAAAGTAAAGTATTGAATGAAGCCTTTCGTACCAAGTAGACGTCCAGCTCAGAGTCTGACTGGCTCCTGTCAAGGGGAGCCAGAGGATCATCCAAAGCTATGGTTGAACTGGAAGCTCGTCGATCTTCGCTGCAACATGGAAACACAAACCAATGTAGCGCAACTCTTCAGCAGCAAGTTTAATATCTGTGGCAATGTTCATATTTATCAATATTTACAGTCTTTCATCTTTAAGCAAATAAATCTGTCCATTGGATCTGTTGGGACAATAGAGTGTCTTTAGTCAGAGGGTTCTTCACATCCTCTGGAGGAGACCGTTCCTGCCCACAGCTAGAACCAGCTGACATGAGTTTCCACAACATTTTCCACAACATAAAGTAAGAGTGACAACCTGTGGTCAAATGTGGGTACTGCAGCCCGTTTTCAAAACACAGGGTGACATTCTCACTCCCGGTCTTTGGGTTTCACAGTTGTTGCCAGTTTCGGACCAGCACCAGAACATTCCTGGTGACGGGCAAAGACGAGTCGTACACAGTAAGTTGATCAGTAGATAAATACATTGCACTGTAATAACAAGTTGTTGGTAATAAAAAAATTAGCTTGAGATGTTTTTTAGAGAGTATTTGCTTCTAAATCACCGTTAGCTTTGTTACCATACCAGTTCATTTGTAACAGCTCATTATAACACAGCATGAGAGCTGACCAAAGCGCCTTACAGAAATGTCATGAAAACAGAATAGAAACAGTTCAATAAATTACAATAAATCAAACAGTAAAAACAGGTCAAGACATTAAAAACAAGCATTAAAAATTGTCAGTGTCCAACACTCTTAGCTCGATGTTAGCCTCTAGCCTTCTTCACCCGATACTGAAGTAAAACAAAAAGGTGCCGTGGCTTCTCGGGAATACAAGAAATAACTTCTGGGTCTTTCCTTTTATTGGTTACCATTCTGTCCATGACGCTGCTGCATTTTATCAGCTGGTGTCAAATTACAAATGCTGGCACAGACTTGACAACCCCACATGCCCCACATGTAAACAAATGCTACATCCCTCTTTGGCCTTTTTAAAAGGAGACAAACTGACAACCCCTGTTTCAGTATAACCTTCCTTCCAACATGATTAAGGCATTAAACAGTTTTGTAATAATTTCACTGTTGAATTCTTACTTATTGCACCTTTAAGTTCCCTTTGGGATTCCTAAACTATTTGGAGTTTAATTTAATATACTAAAAATGCGTTAGGCTCATTTTTACTTCCTAAACGAGCTTGTGGCTGCAGACAGGCGTCTGGACCCTAGATTTGGTCTTTGCTCCAGACTGGAATATTTCTAAAGTTTTAAAAGATCAGGGGTGTAGCGTAACGTTACAGGGGTCTCATGTATCAACCGTACTTACGAACAGATCTGTGCGTATAACGTGCACATGAACTAATGTGCACATTGTGTGGTATTCATCATTTTGTACCTGTGCCTGGAAATGTTTCTAAAGATAAGAAAACTTCAGACCGTGTGTAGGAAAAGCATCTAGTGGTAGAACGGGGAACCGCTACACCGAAGGTTTCAGTCATCCACACGTGTTCCTCATCCACTAATTATTTTACCCATTAAATAAATATTTCTGTGGAAAAACAGCCGAGTCACATAGTTGGTGCTAAAACACCACACACGTGGGATTTATCGTCAGACGAGTGCGGAGGAACGTGCGTACGAGAAGCCTCCGGGAGTTTCATAAATCAGGATTTTGACCGTTCGTACGAACGTTCTAACTTTCATTCATAGGAACAAACAGGAATTTTTCTATGAACATTTGATGAATGAGGCCCCTGGTTTTAATGCCTAAGGGTCAAATTGATGCTTCATTAGCACCACGTTCTGGTCAAATTTTCCCATAATTCACAAATAATTCTCTAACTTCAAAGTCATTTAAATTTACAGCAAGCTGCAAGTGTTTTCTTTTAAAATCTTAATTTCAAATTAAAATACCAAACGATGCTTTTTTAAATTTAGAATTATTAGAAAAGCAGCAGTTCGTGTCATGACTCCCAGGCTGACACCTTCTCCTGCACCTGCCCCTCGTCTCCTATCAAGTAGCTCCTGTGTATATAACCCTGTCTGCGTCTCTCCGTGTTGACGGTCCATTGATGTTGTCAGCGTTGCTTTGGTCCCCCCTCCCGCCAGGTCTCTAGTTCTCTGCTCACAGAGTGAGCTTTGGGTTTTGTTCTTTGCAGCGTCTTGATAATCGGTTTTGGCTTCCTGCCCTTTTAGATGTTTATTTGGTTTTTCATCCTTAATAACGGATTTTACTTTTATCTCCACTCCTGCCTCTTGTTGTCCTGGGGTTCAGCATATTGGGTCCAACCCTCCTGATCTCAATGATCCATAAACTATCCATAACATCTGGAAACCCTTGGATGCACAAAGGATACTTGAATGTGACTGTAGAGTAATTCACCTGTGTTCAGAGTCTTCAGCACACTGACTGGAGTCAAAAGGAGCTGCAGCTTTGGGGAGAAGATCTGGTTGTTTGGAGGAGCTAAAGACTGTCAGAAAGCCTCTGTCAGACACCAAGAGAGTCTCAAACATTCACCAATAAAACCTCACAGCAGCCTTACGGTTTCCATCCAGGTTGTCCATGCTCAGAGCCTTCTTCTCCTCCTTCTGCTCCCTCAGTGGGAACAAAACCTCCTGAGAATACGACTTAGATGCATGAAGGGAGCTCCTCTTCCTCCTCGAAGATGCCCCTCTCGTCGCTGGATTTCATACAGAGAGCATCGTGATCGAGTAAAAGTCAAACATTAATATTAAAGCTGCAATTATGTTAGCAGCAAAACTCACGATGGAGCTTTTTGAAAACTGTCGTTCCCATGAAGTTCAGGAATCTGTCAGCGTAAAAGCTGGGTCTGTGGACCGACACGGTGTCCTGGAGCACAAAACACACACCCATGAGAACGTTCCAATAACCAACCTGAAAAAGGTGTGAAAATGGAACGCACCCCATCATGCACAAGAGCCTTCCAGGAGTGTTCCACTTTCTTCATAAATCTGAAAATAATAACCATTTCATTTAAATAAAGAACCTCACGTTGTGCTCTGCACGTCCGAGGCTCTACCTGTAAGACTGAAGGATGTCGATGATTCCCAAGAAAATCAGCAGGTTTTCATCTTTATGTTTAGCGGGAATTCCTCCGAGTCTGAAAACAACACAACACATATTTATGTCAAACCCTACGACCAAACCGGGCCGCTACATTTAGGAGCGGCTCATTTACTGCTTTATTAAACTACTTTAATTATACTTTATTTTAATATTTGAAAACTAAAATTTGTGAAATGTTGTGGTTTTGTGATGTTCTGCGGGAAAAATCCTGATATTAAACTCTTCTAGTTTGCGCTGATGTTAAAGGGACACAAGGCAGTTTTGGCTTGCTTTTAGCACCCCCTAGTGTTCTGTTAGTTAAACCAAAAGTGAAAGTTATCTCCTCGCTTCATCTTTTAATCACCTTAATCTAACAACTTAAATGTCTCCTCAACCATCATTGGTTTCTACAGGAGAGATTCATCACTAAAATTGTACTAAGTCAAACAGATTGCCACTCTGAAGTTGCAAGTGCGGTTTTATGGACACAGAAGGCAGTGGGCAGTATAAAAATGTTTCATTGTATCCTTTTAACACAAGGTTATACGGGTGTTTTTGTTTTTTTACTGAATTTCAGACTCACGTGTCGTCATGAGGATCAGCCCCTGCCTCCGAGGCCTTGACGTTCCCCATGATGGACTCCCGGGCGGTGGAGTACAGGACCTTTTGTCCTCTCCTGCTGTCACATCTGTTCCCTCTGCTCAGCGGCTTCTTGTCCAACACATGAACCCCCAGCAGGAGGCTGTAGTCCATGATTTTAAAGCTTTCTAGAACCTGAAAACAAGTTTAAAAATTCAATATAAGCCGCTGAATTTGGAACTGTAGCTCTTTGTCCTTCAGTGATGAAGATATTTTAATGTGAGTCAGTGAGCAGCTGCTGAGAACTAGTCATGCTAACGCACTAATCCTTTGTGGGAGGAAACCCATACACAAGGCTGGATTATAATATGGGCAAACGGGGCACAGGCCCAGGGGCCCACAGCCACAAGGGGGCCCACGCGAGCAGCAGTCTTTTTTCTTTTTTTGGTGCAGCAGTCTTAATGTTGGAGAAAAAAGTTAACAAGTAATTAAACTTGGGGGGGGGGGGGGGGGGGGGTAAGCACATTGTGCCCAGGGGCCCCTGCAATGATAATCCGGCCCTGCCCATACATCTATGGGGAGAGCATGCTAGCGCCATCCAGAGAGGTTGCAGCTGGGATTTGAACCTGCAACCTTCTTGATGTGAAGCAACAGGTTGAAAAACTGTGCCACCATGCTAGCAGCTTTTTGGGTTCAGGCTAACTGAGGAAACAGAATTTTACTACTCAGCCACTTTTTATTTATTTTATTTATTTAACCTTTTTTAACCAGATGAGTCGATGGAGAACTCATTCTGATTCACAACGACAATCTGGCCCAGAGGCAGCAGCAACAGGCACATAGTTAGCTTTACACCAAAGAAAAGCAGATAAGGTAAAAACATACAAGATCAAAATAAACAACTAAATTCTAATTTACAACCAGTAATTCTGATTTATTACCGAAGGGGACATTGTGAATAAATAACTATTTTCCACTCATGGTTGCATGTTTTGTTTACTAAGTAAATCTTTCGGAACAGTTTGTAAAGTTTAGAGAGGTTAAACCTTTTTCTGCAAGCCAAAAGCACAGTATGTTCCGAATCCTGATGCAACACTGATATCCTAAAGTAAACTCCTTAAACTAAAAGGCTCTTAAAGCACCGGATTACCCAACTCAACACAGTCGGACGTGCTTCAGCTGCCAGTCAGCTGATCTGGAGTCAGGTGCTGCACTCTGCTGAGTGTTACTCCTTTACCAAAGTCATTACGTGCTAATAATAAACATTACAATAATATTAATAATAACAGTAGTAGTAATAATATTAATAATAAATATAATAATAATAATAATAAATATTACAATAATAGTAATAATAACAGTAGTAGTAATAATATTAATATTAATAATAAATATAATAATATAATAATAATAAATATTACAATAATAGTAATAATAACAGTAGTAATAATAATAATATTAATAATAAATATAACAACAACAATAATAAATAATAATAATAATAATGTAGCGGTGAGGATTAGCTACATTCATGAAATGATCAATAAGATGTGATATTCCATATAAATCTGAATTATCAATCTGATTGGTTTTTGAAGGTTTGATTTAATATTACTCTAGGTTCTTTGACTATTCCATATTCTACTATCTGTGGAGGTTTTCAAAAAAGGCCTCAAGACCTTTTTGTTTAATAAGGCTTTCTAGTGCACAACGACCTATTGAGTGTTTACTTTATTGTGTTGTTTTTACTTGTTGTTTGCATCTACTGTAATGACTTTTTAGATGGGTTTTATCTACTTCTGGGGGCTGTTTTTATTTTCTATACTTGATAGTATCCTGAAATTTTTAACTGTGTTTTTTAAGTAGCTGTGTACCTTATACCTGTCCCCTATACTCTGTAGCACTTTGAGATTACTTCTGTAATGTAAAGCGCATTATAAATAAAATGTATTATTATTATTATTATTAGTAGTAGTAGTAGTAGTAGTAGTAGTAGTGGTATTCAGGTAACATACTCTTCATATTAATTTAGACTGAGTCAAGTATATAATTTTATAAAAATGAATTTAATTCTATTTTCTAAACTAATGATTATACATGACAAAATATGAATGAAATGGTGGAATGTAAGCTAGATGTTTATAGCAAACCCTTGCTAAGTATCTGAGAGATCTTGTGGTGTCTGGGTTGTAAAATCAGTTTGGCTGTATGGTTTGATAAGCTAGAGATTATTCATAAAACCATCCAACGCCATTTGTGCCGAGTCTGCACAACCTTTTGTGTTGAAGGTCCCCGTGCGATCCAGGGGGTCAAGAGGTCGGGATGGACACTACTGGTAGTGGACCTCTGGGCGACGGAACTCGTAATCTAGCTCCAAGCACGACTCGTCTAGTCTGAGATACCCTCCAGGTGACGGCAGGAAGCTGGCGTATTTTTTTACACCTGAGGCTGTTGTGTCTAATATCACTCACAAGCGTTGCAGAGCGACTGTGACCCCGGTCAAAAGAAAGAATGGTTCCAAGTCCTCGCTCACTCGATCGGCCTGATCGGGAGGCGGCTGAAGAACTGACTAGACCAGGAAGTGATCCGTGTATTTATTAAATGTTGTTGACAAATGTAAAGGATTAATTTACATTTACTTAGACCAATCAGAATTTGACAAATTTAAAGGCGTTACCAAACCTCAGAAGATCCTTCCTTCATTCAGATACTTAGAGGTTATTTCTTAGTGTGAAGTGAAAATGTTATAACAGTTATGTGGAGCAAAATGTTAAACATTAATAATAATGTAGCGTCATGACTGTCCTGTTTTTGACCTAAAGGTCATGATCTGCTGCGTCTGCTCGAGCAGAGACATAAAGTCTCTAACAGGCTAATCTACATGAGATGGTGGCCAAGGTCTTTCATGCACTCTACTCATCTGAACTGCTTCACCTCTGTTACAGCTCAAGACGAAGACGAAGAACTCTCTTGATGAATACATAATCAACAACTTTGTTATTACCAATAATAATGTGAGCCCAGTGTTCCATCAATCTGTGAAATGACAATGTTATTACTTGAGATTATAATCCTGTGATCAGTAGTATTTTACAAGTTATTATAATCCTGGACGTTTGCACTAGACACTGATGACACGTAATGCTAAAGTTACACGACACATTTCCTTTTGTCTGATCCAATCAGAACCTTCGTTTCTGGCTAGGCGTGGTTTTTTGTGGTGTTTGTATAAACCCTCTTTTTCATGTCAAATTCTGATTCGCCAGTAAACCAAAATATGACAATTATATCCCACGCCACCTTTTCTTTAGTTCAAGTGTTCTAGAGAAGTCTCGGACCGGCCACCCGGACTTCCTCTTCAGCCATTAAGAACCTCGACAAGCTGGATAAAATCTGTTGCAGTTACACCTGACCGCAACGGTTCCTTCAGAATAAAAGCTGAACCTCACGACCCCTTCAGGGTCTCGCTGATGCCAGTGATAACCTGTCGTGACCTGGAAGCATTCCCAGACTAGTTTGGTCGGCACCGCTGCTTTTCTACCGGCTTCAGTACCAAGGAGGGTCCGAGAGGACCTCGGCATTCTGGATCTAACGGAGGCTTCCCCTGGGGTACGTAGACCGACAGATGGCGTCTCATGTGTGTTATAAACCTCCTACTAAAGTTTAGAGCGAAACATTCACTCCCACACAGAACTAAATGCTTCTCCGGATCTGCTGGTTCTGATAATAACATTACACACACACACACACACACACACACACACACACACACACACACACACACACACACACCATCATCACTCATCACGTCTCACTCCACCTTAGTCCATCAGTACACAGAGTGTTAAAGTTAGTCTTGTTTAAATTGTGTAGAAATAAATTTCTTAACTATTATAAACCTGACTCTCTCTCTTTCCTCGGAGGTAATACGAAGTGTCGCTTAATCCCTGCAATAAAAAGTTCTGATCTTCTGGTTAAAATAGTCAAACTTTGAACATAGTAATAAATCAGGTAAATTCTTAGCTAGCCAATTAAAAATAAATAAAGAGAAAACTACCATATCTGCTGTTAAAGACTCAACCGGGAATTTAGTTAATGACCCTGAAAGAATAAACAACACCTTCAGAGACTTTTACCAAACGTTGTACTCACCACAGATAAACCCATCAGATAATGAGATCAGTGAGTTCCTTGACAGGATAACACTTCCTAAATTATCAGAGAGCCAAGTTACAGTCCTGGACTCGCCACTAACATCAGCGGAGCTCCAGGAAGCCCTTAAATCCATGACGAATAGGAAAGCTCCAGGTCCAGACGGGTTCCCAGTAGAATTCTACAAAGAATTCTGGATCATTCTGGCTCCAATATTTTTCAGAATGGTGAGGGAAATCGAAGAGAGCAGCAGATTACAGCCAAACATGAATTCAGCCAATATTAGTCTCTTGTTAAAACCAGGCAAAGACCCGGCATTTCCTACCAGCTATCGCCCAATTTCTCTTATTAATGTTGATCTCAAAATAATTTGTAAAGCCCTGGCCAAAAGATTAGAGAAGGTAACCCCCTTCATAATACACCCTGACCAAACTGGTTTCATTAAGGGTAGACAATCATCCACAAACTCACGTAGATTACTTAATTTGATAGATTTCTCTTACAGTAGAAACATAGAAACTAGTATATTATCTCTAGATGCAGAAAAAGCTTTTGATAGAGTTAACTGGAAGTTCTTATTTGCAACTTTACATAAATTTGGTTTTGGGAACTTCTTCATAAACTGGCTACAAACATTATACAGTTCACCAACTGCACGTGTCAGGACGAACGACCAAATGTCAGCTAGCTTCTGTCTTCAGAGGGGGACCAGGCAGGGATGCCCACTCTCCCCCTCACTATTTGCTATCTTTATTGAACCACTAGCAGCAGCAATTAGGCAAACAACAGATATTAAAGGGATAAAGTGTAAGAAAATAGAACATAAGATCAGTCTTTATGCAGATGATGTTTTACTCTTTCTCCAGAATTCTCAATCCTCTCTCTCCCAAGCAATAGAACTGATAAACTCTTTTTCCAGAGTTTCAGATTACTCTATAAACGGGTTAAAATCCACAGTTCTACCAATTAATTTCTCATTTGTCAATTTGCTTAATACACAATTGGAGTCAGGGAATATCACATACCTGGGAATTAATATCTCTCCCAAGTTAGCAGATCTAACCAAACTGAATTACATCCCACTTTTAAGGAAAGTGGAAGATGATCTTGCAAGATGGAAATCCTTACCAATATCACTCATGGGGAGAGTTGCTACAATTAAAATGATGGTCTTACCCAGAATAAATTACTTATTCTCGATGATCCCAAACAAACCTCCAGCTGACTGGTTTAAATCTCTGGACTCCTCAATTACTAAATTCCTTTGGCAGGATAAACCTCCACGAATTAGCTTAAAAACGCTTCAGAAGACCAAAGACAAAGGAGGACTAGATTTACCCAACTTTTATTATTATTTCTTAGCCAACAGGCTGCAATATATACCAAGATGGTTGCAAGATAACCCATTAGACGAGTCCTGGTTAGACATAGAACAGACACTTTGCAATACGATAGAGCTTTCAGACTTACCATTTATTAGCTCAAGCATAAGAAAACATGAAAGCTTCAAAAGTATTAGTATCAGCACCTCTCTGACAGCATGGTGGGAGTATCTTAAAATGACAGAGTCTTCACTAGTACCATGCAGACGCACACCTATCTGAAATAATCCTGACATTTTGCAAAACAACAAAATGATGAACCTTCCGGACTGGAAAAATAAAGGAATCCTATACCTGGAACACATATATGAAGGATTGGACTTCATCCCATTTAATCAAATAGTCTCCCAATTTGGAATGGATAAGAATAGCTTTTTAGAATATCACCAAATTAAATCTGTAGTCAAACAAAAATTTAAGCTCAATAAAATAGAATTACAAACACCACCAAGGGTATTAGACTTTTATAATCTCAAACCCCCCAAACTACTGTCTAAAGTATATAAGACACTGTCCAAAATAGACGATAAAATTGCAATCCCTATTGAACAATGGGAGGTGGATCTATCAGTTAGCTTTGACCAGGACTTCTAGTCCCAAACTTGTTTAAAAACTTTTAAAATGATCAGACACTCCAATTTACAATTAATTCAGTACAAAATTCTACACAGAGTACACTATACAGGTCATCGGATGTTCAAGATGGGGTTTGTGTCGTCTGACATCTGTACACACTGCACAAACAACATTCCTGACAATTACATTCATGCACTGTGGTCCTGCCCACCTGTCCAGGAATTTTGGGGTAGAGTATGTGAGGATCTGTCAAAATGTCTGAAATGTCATATCACAACTTCCCCCTCTCTTTGTTTACTGGGACAGCTGCACGATGTCCCGATTGCAACATCTTTGGTTCACGTGGTTCTGACTGCCATATGCCTCGCTAAGAAAACTATCCTCTTGAATTGGAAAAATAGAGAAAGTCTCTGCATTAACCAGTATAGAAATCTTTTGTTAGATCATATTGCACTTGATATAGCCTCTGCTTCCACTTCAGATGAATCTCTCTGGGCTCCTTTGATCGGTTCCATCACATAGCGAGGGTGGGGGGCCATTGATGTTGTCCTGCGGGATGGTGTGGGTGGGGGGGTGTGGGGTCTGAGTTTGGAGTATCCGGATGTTCCCTGGAGGTGGGTTCACTGGGGGTGTCTGGGGCTGGGGGGCTGTTGCCCCCCTCTGGAGGTGCTTGGGTTGCCTCGGGGGGTGGACTGCTGGCGGTTGTGAGTGGGGCCCCTTGGGGATCTTGGCGGCGGCCATGGGTCACTGCCTGGCGGCTGCAATACCCCTGGGCGGGTCTGGGTGGGGGCCTGGGGGCTCGGGGTTTGGGGGTGGCCGGCCCCGTGTGGGGATCTGGGCGGGGCCTTGGGGGTCGGGTCCTGACATGTATGCTGCCAGGAGGAAGGCAGGAACCTTCAGCAGTGCCTGGCCCGGGTTCGGGGGCCTCAGGTAGACCTTGGCTCCTCTGCCGTTCCATCACAGGGGAGGGGGAGGTCCAGGACGGGGAGGACCAAACCTTACCTGGATGTCCCATGTCTTATATATTCTGGAAGTTGTGCAAATGCAGGGGTGGGCATAGATATTCTGCTGGGATGGGGCTGGGTTGGTGCCCTCGGACTCCGTGAGGCTCTGTAATGCTGCTGCTTTGGGCCCTGGCAGGATGGGCTGGGGTCTCCATGCCCTGGGTGGCAGTTTGACAACAGAGGTGCCTATTGGGGCCAGTAGGGGAGCTGGCTCCCTGGAGGGCTAAGCCCAACCAGCCATTCCTCCCCATCCCCACATATTTCTCTCCTCCTGCTCCCTCACATCATCACACAAACATACACATAGGACCTTGGGGGGTGGGCAAGTCAGGGAGTGCGGGTATGGACCCCATTTCCGCATTCCTGTGGCAACCTGCCCCCCAATTTTATTTGCACCTTATACACTTCCACTGACGACATTCCACACAAACACACACTTAGGGCCTTGGGAGTGAGCACATTCAACGGCATTTGGCAGGGGGATATTTCAGCCTCCTCCCGAGTGCCGGTGCCCACTTCCAATTTTAAACCGCACTTAGACACTGATGGCTGAGGGTGTAAGTGGGGTGGTGCGGTGGCATCAGCTGACATATGCCGGATGATGCCCGCACTGCCCACACACCACAGCCATGGAATACACCTCATGATCACACAACACTATATTGGAGCAGGTGGAGGGAGACTAGGGGTCTTAGCCACCTCTATTGTTGCTAGGCTTCCTGGGGCTGGAGGCTAGGAGGGAGATCTGGCCGTCTGGTTGGGGTCTGGGGTGGTGGGTTATTGTGCTCAGCGTTGGGCGGGGGAGCCTGCTCATCAGCACCCCAGCAGAAAGGGTCAAACTCTGGTTACCGGTGATGGTTGTACCCCATGTGCAGCAGTACCGGGACCAGAGTTAATAGGGTGTGTATGGGGAGCATGAGTGAGTGTCCGGCGTGCATTTTTGTAAGTCTTGGGTTGTATGTGCATGTGTGAGCATGAGGGAGGGAGTGTGTGTGACTGTGTTTGTGTATGACTGTATATGTCAGGTGGGGCCTTTGGGTCCTCCCCTCTCCTGGAACTTCTCTTGATTATATAGATCTTTGTCCCCCCTCCCCCTGCCACACCTGGTGTGGGGGCTTGTGCCATGGTCTGCCTGAGTGTTCGTGGCAACCGGGTCTGGGGGTTTAAGATTTTGGCATCTGCCTGATAGATCCCGGTGGCTGCCTGGTGGGGTCTGGGTCCCTGGGCTCTGCTGGGTCCCCGGCGGGGGTGGTCACCCCTGGGTCCCGGGTCGCTGGGTCCCGGGCTCGGCCGGCTAGGGGGTGGGAGGCTGCGGGCGGGCCTGTGGGCTTGCCGCTGATATCTCCAGGGACTCTGCTGGCTGCTGGTTGTGGCCCCCCGGGGCGATCCTCTGTGCCTCTCGAGGGGGGCGGGGGCCTTTCTGGTTGCAGTCTCCTTGGGGTTCCTGCATTCTGGGGCAACGCCTGGATCTCTGGGACTTGGAGCTCCCCCCGTCTCCTGCACATCTTTGGGGGGCGGATCTGTGGTCCCTCACACTCTCTGTTGGACGCTCCTATAGAGAAACCTTAAATAAACAAGCGCGTGTACACACACAGGTGCTCACATGGTGCTCTCAAAAGTATGGGCTTGGGCACGTTCAACACATGTCTTAAGACTATGGGGGGCACTTAATGCATTGTGATTTATTATCGTGATTCTTCAGTTAAGCAATGTTGATTATGTGTATGTGTGTATATATATATATATATATATAGTTTTTTTTGTTTTTTTTTTCATCAAGTTGACGCAGTGATAGGTAGATCTTGTTGTATTGTTGTTGTGTCCCTTTTTTGTGTCCTTTTTTTTTTTTTTTTTGTCTTTTTCTGCAGGTGTAGAAGCAGACTCTTGTTCATTGTTTATTTTTGTGGAACCCCCCCCCCCCTCCTCTCTCTCCACCTTTTCTCTTCCTTTCTCTTTCACCTCTGTCTCCGTGTCTGGTCGGAATTACAAAGCATTCAACAACAATAACAATAAAGTTTTAAGTATCAGGCGTGACATTAAAAGCAGACGCTTTGATGCTCCACCCGAGAATAAATCTGTAAGGCTTGTCACCAGCATTCAGACATCAATTCTGCTTGCTTCACAGCCAGACAGGACACGGTAAAAAAAAAAAAATAATAAAAAATAAAAATAAAATAAAATAGTCAAAGATCCATCAGATTGATATTTCATATTTCTATGGAATCTCACATTTTATGGTTCATAAGTAAGATGTAAATGATCCATCCTTTACAATAAAATTATGATATTATTTTGTTCATACTGAAAGATTAAATTTCTAATCAACAATTACTGATCTGGTGTAGCTTAAGGTCTGAAATAAATCATTACAGGTAAAATATTAATTTTTACCCGCAATGTGTGTATAGGACACATAATTCAAACACTTTGGATTTTAAAAATTGTTCATTCAACAGAATATGATTATATGGAGTTTTAAAGTCATTTATGACAAGAAAGACAAGCTTTATGCAGAGAGTAAAAGATAAAAAGTCCTGCATCTCGCAACCTTGAAGCTCATGAAGTACGATGTTAGGAATATTGGCTCGAGTTCATTTCTTCATATCGGCACCACGGTGTCAGACCGACCTGTAAGTTAAAAGTTAACTTCTGGTCATTTTGATGAAATACTCGGCCTTTTGGTATGCTACAATAATATTAGTATGTCTGTGGAACCCAGCAGAGCGTGAGCGACCGGGGCTCTGTGCGGTGGACTGGTCTGACGCCGTTACGTAATGTTATCAGGAACCGTGCAGCGATGATCGGCTTAGAAAACAGCTGGGAGCGGTCCTGGAACTGAAATGGGAAGTTGATTGGAAAACCAAGCAAGTACGACTGAAACTCAATTTCTTTGAGTGTTTGGTTAGGGTGTGTGGGTGTGGGTGTGGGGGACAGGCAGCAGCTGTTGCTTCTTCTAATCTGAATGACAATCTACAGAGCAACAGACATCATTTCTTGTTGTGAAACTTTTTTTTAACAAGTTTTATATAAATACAGGGACAGGAATTTGCTAATAGGAAACATTTGCCCCATGTGATTTCTCTTTGACTTTGGGCCTGAGTACTCCCACACCTGCTGTCTAATAAGGAGCAGTCCAGAAGACCCTTTAAGAACTGAGAGTCCCTGACCCGGGGCTTAGCCGGGAGGATGCCTTTATCCTAAACCAACAGTAAAACTAAAGAACAACAGCAGAGTCATGCTAACAAATTAACAATCATTTTACCGACATCAAAAAAGTAAATCAATAACCACAAAAACATAGAAAAGAGGTTCACTAGTAAAAGAGATTAAAAGATCACTAAAAATCTACTAAAACTAAACCCTAAAAGGAGGAGAGCTGACCCAGGGCACCCAGGCATCCACACACAACACCAGTTAATCAGGGTTTAAAACAAGCTCCCATAATACTGGTCTGAAATTGAAGCCAACGCGGAAGTGAAACAAATTGCAGTTCCACCCTCATCCACTAGGGGCTGGTGTCAGAAGCGAGCAAATCCTCATTGACTCCCATGTTAAAAATACCAATTTCACAGCAGAAATAAACATGTTTACAGCCTGGTACCAAAACATGTTTTAAGTTTAAATGATCTAGTTTACACTCATGACAACTCTGAGGGGGGTGAATGTTTTTCTCACTCTTCTGTTTAAGTGTATTAAAAGCCTAAAATTCTGAATAATTAAACTCCTACATCGCAGATTGAAGTGTGCGGATTCTCATTTTGTTTATTCAACATGTACTGTTTAACCATGAAATTTAAATGTAATTGGGTAAAATCCAGTGCATTTAACATAACACTGCATTTTTGAAGATGGGTTGAAGTATAACATGTTGGTGGAGTTGGGTTCCGACCATCGGTGTGGTCCCCTCCCCGCAGCTCGGCGCCTGTCTGCTGCGCGGCTGCCGGCTTGTGGAGCTCTCAGGAAACCTCTGTGTTCCACCCGGTTTTACCCAGCGGTCAGCCCGGTGCATCTCTGATGCAGAAGCTCCGGTGTTGTGCACAGTTAACTCCGGTTGTAGCTAGGTAGCTACCTCCGTTAGCTTAGCTCCCACCTCCGCGTTAGCTTTGGGTTAGCTTGTAGCTACATCGCTTCAGTTTGACGGGTGTCGTCATTTGATCCCAGCCTTACAGCCCCACCCTCAGCTCCACCTCTCTTCCCTTTTGTGGAATTGTCAGGGCTTGGTCAAAATGGCGGTGGTGGCCACCTCCCATTTTGGCTTAAAAACTTATTATTGGAGCCTATGGACACGAATTGTCCAGTATATATGTCGATGGGTTAAAAGCACAAGCTGCTAGCAGAAGAGCCAACACAAAGTACGGTGAGCTAAAGCGAAAGCCCTCGTGCTCCCTGTAATCAAAGCTCATTCACACCCGCCCCACCGTGAATAAACCACCCAAACAAACAAATATCCTCCCAGGGACAGCAATAACGGCTAACCTCAAACAAAAATCTCCCTCTAAAAGCAACTATGCTGAAACTAAGATAAAGGAGGAGTAAAAGAAGTGATGAGAAACCGAAACAGTAACAGTTGCATTCAGCTTAGCTGATACGGGCCCCGGTTGGTTTACCCTAACCTACCGCCACACACGTTCACCCACGGAGAGACGTTCAGCATTTACCGGCTGAAGTTCTCCTCTCCTAATGTAGCTGCACCGTAATCAGCTGGCTACGCGTCCTCCTTATGTGGGCATAACTTCCAGGAGCTAACGTGCCTCAGTTATTGTTATTTTGGGCATCTCCTGGAGAAAACAGCCATCTTGTGATCCACATATGGTGGAACTGGAAGCACCAAGGTGCACCCCCAGTACAATGACGGCATCTCGACTAGTGGGTTCATCCACCTGTGGACCTCCTCACCCATCATCATTCCCCTGCTCTCCTACAGAACCCCATTTTTACTATTTACATGAAACATTTTTTTCCTAGAATGATAAATATCTAAAAGAACTTGCCCGGCAGTCTCTCTGCAGCGTCTTCATCAGGGCGCTGTAGGTGTCCGCATCAAAGAAAAGCCCTTCGTGCATCTCCTGGAAGTCCAGGTCTTTGAACGTGGGCGAGGCTTTGGCACGTTCCTTACGCGAGGCGCGACGTTTATACGACGAACCCTTCAGGTCGTACTTGTAGTGCATCTGCATGGCTCGTGGCAGGATGTTGTTCATCACCACCACACGGACAGTGACACCACCGCACTGGATGCAGTAAAGTCCGTAAAACTTGGGCAACAGCGTCCTCGGGTTCTGATTCAGGTTCTGTGGTGACAAATGTAAGATGAAGAGAGACGGAGATGAGTAGTTAGATGGTTCACGTGGTACAAGACAAGAGATTTCAGCAGAAACCAGAACCTGCAAATGACTCAACCTCATATGGGAAAGGTGTGAGGCAGAAGCTCTGCAGAAAAGACCGTCTCAGTAGAGGCAGGAAGTGTTTGTTCTCATCCTCTCACCATGTAGTAACCAGGGAGCAGCTTCTGCAGAAACTCAGCCTCTTTATGCTGCACCGTCTTGATGATGAACTCGTCGTCACTGGTGAGGTAGAACCAGGAACTGCTGGCTCCAGGGTTGGACAGCTCTATCAGTGGCTCTTTACAGATGGAGTACTGAGACACGAACAAAGAGACATGCTGAAACCACATCTGTGGAAACCACCGTCACATGCAGGCGTAACAGAAACAACCTTCTCCACCCACCAGATAGTCGTCCGGTTTGATTCCAAACAGCTCTCTGAAGTACCGGAAAGCCAGCGGCGCATAGGTTTTCAGACGGAAATCTGGGAAGCGATGAGCTGGAGTCAGGCTGCTGCCCTCACTGCAGAGAGTAAAAGACGGACGGGTCACTATGGGATGTGGACTGTACATAAGTGCATAACTGTAGGAGCGCCGTCATGGCTGCTCCCATGGTCTGCCTGTATCTGTCTTGTCTATATGTGTGTGTGTGTGTGTAACCTTGGTCAGGTTGTACTATGGAGTCACGTTCCTACGCTCTGGAAGGAGCGCTGGCAATAAAATTCATTCTGATTCTGATTCTGATTCTGGACATGTTTGATTCAGTAATGGTGAAGCAGACACAAGCGGATGCTGATAGGGACCTGGCTTCCATTAACATGTAGAGGTTTAGTTTCATCAGATCTAGAAATGTTTATGTGAAAATTGATATAATACATTTAGACCCCATAAGTAAGATTGAAAGTTTAAAAAAATATTATATATGTAGTAAAATACTAATTCATGCCATTTTTCTGCTTTAGAAGCCACAAAAGCAACTCTTTATTTAAGTAGGGTTAGGGTTCAGTGAAGCCCAGCTAGCTGGTCATCACATTTGAGTCCCAAAATCTTGTTAAAAAATGGACTGAATTACAGGTCCTTCTCAAAAAATTAGCATATTGTGATAAAGTTCATTATTGTCTGTAATGTACTGATAAACATTAGACTTTCATATATATTAGGTTCATTACACACAACGGAAGTAGTTCAAACCTTTTATTGTTTCTAATATTGATGATTTTGGCATACAGCTCATGAAAACCCAAAACTCCTATCTCACAAAATTAGCATATCATGAAAAGGTTCTCTAAACGAGTTATTAACCTAATCATCTGAATCAACTAATTAACTCTAAACACCTGTAAAAGATTCCTGAGGCTTTTAAAAACTCCCAGCCTGGTTCATTACTCAAAACCACAATCATGGGTAAGACTGCCGACCTGACTGCTGTCCAGAAGGCCATCATTGACACCCTCAAGCAAGAGGGTAAGACACAGAAAGACATTTCTGAACGAATAGGCTGTTCCCAGAGTGCTGTATCAAGACACCTCAGTGGGAAGTCTGTGGGAAGGAAAAAGTGTGACAGAAAACGCTGCACAACCAGAAGAGGTGACCGGACCCTGAGGAAGATTGTGGAGAAGGACCGATTCCAGACCTTGGGGGACCTGCGGAAGCAGTGGACTGAGTCTGGAGTAGAAACACCCAGAGCCACCGTGTACAGGTGTGTGCAGGAAATGGGCTACATGTGCCACATTCCCCAGGTCAAGCCGCCTTTGAACCAGAAACAGCGGCAGAAACACCTGACCTGGGCTACAGAGAAGCAGCACTGGACTGTTGCTCAGTGGTCCAAAGTACTTTTTCAGATGAAAGCAAATTTTGCATGTCATTAGGAAATCAAGGTGCCAGAGTCTGGAGGAAGACTGGGCAGAGGGAAATGCCAACATGCCTGAAGTCCAGTGTCAAGTACCCACAGTCAGTGATGGTCTGGGGTGCCATGTCAGCTGCTGGTGTTGGTCCACTGTGTTTTATCAAGGGCAGGGTCAATGCAGCTAGCTATCAGGAGATTTTGGATCACTTCATGCTTCCATCTGCTGAAAAGCTTTATGGAGATGAAGATTTCATTTTTCAGCACGACCTGGCACCTGCTCACAGTGCCAGAACCACTGGTAAATGGTTTACTGACCATGGTATTACTGTGCTCAACTGGCCTGCCAACTCTCCTGACCCGAACCCCGTAGAGGCTCTGTGGGATATTGTGAAGAGAAAGTTGAGAGATGCCAGACCCAACACTCTGGATGAGCTTAAGGCCACTATCGAAGCATCCTGGGCCTCCATAGCACCTCAGCAGTGCCACAGGCTGATTGCCTCCATGCCACGCCGCACTGAAGCAGTCATTTCTGCAAAAGGATTCCCGACCAAGAATTGAGTGCATAACTGAGCATAATTATTTGAAGGTTTTTTGTTGTATTTCCTTTTTATCTTTTATCTGTGTTTGACATGTTTATATAACGCCTGTTTAATTAACCAACATTTTTAGTGTACAGCGCCTTGTTTGGTTGTAATGCCTTGTGAATGCGCTTTATAAATAAAATTGGATTGGATTGGATTGGAAAGTCTAATGTTTATCAGTACATTACAGACAATAATGAACTTTATCACAATATGCTAATTTTTTGAGAAGGACCTGTATACCCTGGGAAAGTACGATAATCTAATTAACCCCTTAAATTTCCAGGTTTAATGAACTCAGTGGGGTTTTGTCCCACGCTGGAATGCTAAGGGGTTAAATAATAACTTGAAAAAGAAGTAACCGTTGAAATAAAAACGTAGACATAACACCTAACATCTTTTCTGATGCTGGTGAAACACAGACTCCATCCCCCTCTTGTCTCTGCTGCCACCGCCGGCGGAGAAGCTTCTAATTTGGGGCCCGGAACATCAAACTGACACATTTAATCTTATAATTTAATTTTTAGGAGGAGCGAGTGCGACTCTACCACTGTCTTGCAAAGTGGTTGTTTTATCTCCACAAATAACACAAACCTGGAGGAGTTCTGCTGTGTAGTAAAGTTGCTAATGCTAATGGTTAGCTAAAACTAGCCAAGACGTTCACTGCTGTTTCCTGGACGCCAAAACTAATAACAGCCTTCCCTATCATGAGTCAAAATGGGTGAGTCCATGAATGTTAAGTGACAGTGTGACGTAGATCTGTCAGGATTTTCTAATCCTAGAGATTCACCATCTGTTTTCTATCAGACGCTAATGCAGACGATAGGTGTAGGAGACTATTTTCATGTTCAGTCTGCAAGAACCACTCACAGAGTGACCGATAATCAGAAATAATCATTTAAAAAATGTTTTTCAGTCAACAACATCTTTAATGTCACAAAGAAATCTAATATATGTATTTCTAAAAAGTCTGTAACAAGCCCAGTGATTCCAGATGCTGAAACTGAGTGTACCTGGGCAGGAAGACGGTCTCCAGCACTGAGAAGTCCTGCATAAGAACATCTCTGTCAGGTTTGGAGCTGAGGTTTCCCACAGCGTACCCGATACCCAGCTGGATGGCTCCTTTCAGTGCCTCTGCTGTGGGCTAAAAATATTTTAGATGAAAGTTTTAAAACACAACTGAGACACTTTATCTTCTGTCTTCTTACATTCATTGCCTTTGCATTTTTACACTTAATTTATTTTTTTAGAAACGTTTTGTCCAAATAAAAATGTGAAACATGTTTTTTAATTACACTTTTTCAGATTTACTCAGCTCTAATTTAAATTTATTGCTAATTTACTTCCAAACATGTTTTGGTAATGACTTGCTATCTTACTTGAGCAGGCTAACACGGCAGCTAGCTATAGCTATGTACAGCCTACACATTGTTCTATGGTGTAATTTAAAATGAAAATACAGCAAATTCCAACAGATTATAGTAGCAATGTTGTCATATGAAGCTTTTTAAGCCATTTTTTGCATTTAACACATAACAAAAGTAACTTTAGCTGCTCTTTAAATGTAGTGAATGATGCTAGCAGCTATCAAAGCTAGCATTACACTTAGCTAGAGCGCGATGAAATTTCCATTTAGTTTTTTTCCTAAAATTTTTTCCTATTATTCCCCAATTTCCCTTTTTTCGTTTCTAACCATATGTGTGTGTAATATTCAAGATAATTAATAACAATTCAACAACTCAGCACAGAATTTTAAATGTAATGGCTGTTATTTAACTGTCACAAACACAAAAAGTGCTCAGGGCTCAACATTGATAGCCTAGAAATCTAGACTAATTGCAGCAGTAGCAAAAGGTCAGTCAAGCCACGTTCTATATATAGAATAGGGAGCCTAAGTCACGACCATGGGTCCCCGGAAGAACGAAAAAATGAATACAAGTCAAATGGGGCTAAAAACCCTATTTTCTAATTCTGCTTGCCATGCCGTGCCATAGATTTCACATATGATGTCCGTGAATTTTTAAGCATTTTGATACCAAGAACGTGCTTATTTTTGAACGGGGGAAATGCTATTTTAGGTTTTGTGTGAAAATAAGTCCAAGACTACAAATATGCTTCACTAAAAGTGACGTCATTAAACCAGAAACGGAGAAAACAGAGGGAAAATGGCTGTAAGTTCAGCCAACTTCAAATCCTTCCCATAGGAGGAAAGAACCACCATAAATCTGGCTATTTGGTAAGTAGCAAGTATGCTAGGGGAGAGGAGATCATGTGGAGTTGTCACATATGCAATGTACTGATGTCTGGTTTGTTGACATGCTAATTACAACTTTTACAAGCTGATTAAATGTCAAAGTACGTGACTGGCGTACTCAAAACACCCATTATTAGTTTTCATTTAAACAGCAGAAAAAGGTCTCCTCCCTTTCTGGGAAGAACGAAAAAATTTATGCAAGTCAACGGGGCTAAAAGAGCTATTTTCTAATCTGCTTTGCCTTACACCCTGGATCACACATATGTTGTACTGCATTTTAAATGAAAAGTAATGAAGTGTGTTTCGACCCCGCCAGTCACGTACTTTAAAGCTGCTTTCCGGAGATTTCCTCTTTCAGAAATTATGTACGATTTGTCAGAAATCCGTAAAAGTGATTATCTTATCATGTACTGTGATGTAATACAAGCAATATGTCTTTATTTATTTATTTAATTGCTAAGCAACGCCCCCTGCCCGGCAGAGCTTCATGCAATAGGAAACTGAGCGCCACCCAGAACTAACCAATAGCGACTACCGCTTAGACGCTTCAAATTTAAGGAATACCTCGGCTGATGCAGAGTTGATGAACTTTTCACGGACAAGAAAGTCTCTAAAATTTAAATATATGAAAACGCAACATGACATGAGAATAATACTCGTAAAACAACGTGTTTTAGCTCTGTTTGTCGGCTAAGAAAGCACATAAAACAGAAACGTGAAGTCGCCATCTTAAAAAAACAGAGGAACAGCGTTTTTGTGTAATATGCTTGTCAGCCACAAGATGGTGCCATCGGATGAGAGAAATACACCAGAAGGAAGCTTTAAGATTTATCAGCTTGTAAAAGTTTGTAATTAGCATGACTACAAATCAGCTATCAGCATGTCTAACATAGGACTGAACAGTTTTTGGTCTGTCCAATCACAGCGCTTTATGTTTGTATGTTGAGTGGGCTTAGCACCAGAGCTGCAACAGAGGAAAACTACAAAGATGGCATCGTTTTAGGACTGGCGTAATTTGATACAGCTTTGACATTAACTTTGGATGATTCGACATGAGATAGCAGATAGAGGTGATACATTTCCAAAACAGGATGTAATAGCTTTTTCTTCATTTGGTGGTGTATGGCTGTGCCCTACTGACTGATTTCCATACTGATGAATATGTCATGTAGGGCTGGGTGATATGGCCTAAAATCAATATCATGATCTATTTAGGATTTCACCTTGATAACGATAAATAGACGATAACTACAGGTATGTGCAGAATTAAAAGCTGTCCACTAGGCGGGGCTGTCATGTTTATTATGTTGAGTCACGTTGTCATGTGATCGAGGTGGTACAGCTTTTTAAAGGGACAGGAATGCTGAGCTACTACTGGGCGCAGGTTCGATCCCGGCTTCAGACAGAGAATTCTGCTGTTGTGTCCTTGGGCAAGACACTTAACCCACCTTGCCTGCTGGTGGAGGTCGGAGGGACCGGTGGTGCCTGTGCTTGGCAGCCTCGCCTCTGTCAGGGCAGCTGTGGCTACATCGTAGCTCATCCCCACCGGTGTGTGAATGTGTGTGTGTGAATGGATGAATGATACACTGTAGTGTAAAGCGCTTTGGAGTCCTTACTCTGAGAGGTGCTACACAAGTGCGGGTCATTTATCATTATCATTTAACATACACACATATTTTCATCTTTTATTATTAAATTTATTGACATGGGAAAAACGATATCGGTTAGAGTCAGACATTTCGATGACTATTAATTTTTGATTGATTGCCCAGTCCTAATGTCACTTTGTCTGTTGCTCTGATTGATGCTAGTGCTGTCCATCTGTGTCCAGAGACCATTTGAAAGACAACCATAGATTCTACCCTACCCCACTACTATATATTTACATATACAGGATGGCTTGCTAGGCTGGAACATAGAGTAGTTTAGCGAGGTCTTTTAATAAGAGGAGTAAAATTATTAAAGAACAAAAGTATGTTGTCTGTGCAGAAAAATAGGTGTTACTATGTTGATTAGTTAAATTTCGTGTTTCTGTCTGCGTTTTCCACGTCGCAAAAAACACAGGGCCCTAAGTTAGCCTAAAAAACTTTTTGTGTGTAAACACAGTCGTGCCACACAGTAGGGCTGGGCAATAAATCGAAAATGTATCGTTATCGAAATTTCTGACTCTTATCGTGATCATTTTTCCCATGTCAATAAATCTAATAATAAAAAAACTAAATAATGTGTGTAGGTTGGCAGCATTCATGTCCCTTTAAGGAGCTCTACCACCTTGAGTCATGTAAAAATGTGACTCAGCGTGATACATGTGACAGCCCCCTCTAGTGGACAACTTTTGTTTCTGTGCATAACTGTAGTTATCGTCCATTCATCTTTTTTGAGGTGAAATCCTCAATATATCGTGATATTGATTTTAAGCCACATTGCCCAGCCCTACCACACATACAAGGTATCAGCTTCCTCTTAGAATTGAGGAACATTTTAAACAGATGTCTAATTTTTGGTTGCTAGCCGTAGAACGAGGAAGAAGTGGGCAAATGGACGTTCCTCTTGATGAATAAGCTACATAACACAAACGGGTTTAGCTTTCGGTCTGAGAAGCCGGACAGCATCTGAAAAATGAGAACTGGAAAACTTCCTTGAGTTTACTTTTTAAATTAAAAAGTTTCCTCTGATGTGAAAAACAAATTAAAGTTAAGTCATGTGATCCTACCTCTGCCTCCTGGGTCAGAATTTCATATTTTTCATTCTGTAATATTAAAACTGCTTTTACCAAACACAGAAATGTATGAAATCATTTTTGTTTATTTACAATCATGTATTATATATGCATGAGCACTTATTAAATACAAATATTTATCTCTTGGATACGAATAACAAGAGCTTTGGGATGATTTTTACCTTTTTATGATCCTTGGAGGTTTTGGAGGTTTGCGTTTCTCCTCTGTTGAGCGTAAATGCCGACATCTCCTGGACTCAGATCTTGATCAGAGGGAAGTTCAATGGTCCTTCCTCCAATTTAGAAGTTGAATGGGTTCCTTTTTTCCGCTCAGTGATGAATGAAGCGACACACTAATTCACCATCATGGAAACTGCATTTCCCAGGTGCGTCGCTCCTGCAGGTTGGGTGCAGACAACAGGAGTTACTCAAAGTGCTTCATTTGCATGAATGTCGATGCAAAGCAGGCGTGAGATGAACACGGCTCTTTTACAAGCTTTGGGGGGGTGTTTTAAAATCCTGGGGACGGAAACTGTTTTCTAAAAGCTGCAGCAGAGCCTGTCTTGATGAAGACTTTCCTGTTGGAGCTGCTGCGGTTCTGAGGGATTTTTGCATTTTTGAGGAACTTTAGCTCCAGAATCCTTGATCCTAATTAAGCTGGATTTAAAAAAATAAACCACTGCAGACCAAATCCCCCTCTTTCATAACAACATGCAGAGCATTTAAACCTCTAACTTACAAAATCAAACTTTACACAAAACAAAGGCCTCCCTGTCAGATGGGCTGATTAAATAACAGAATAAACCAGGCTTGAATATGAAGTAAATCATCAGTTTTCAGGGATTTGAAACCATGGCAACCACTCCTGACAGTATTTGTTTCCATCATGAGAACCAGTAGGAGCTAATTATCTATTTTTGCTCTAACTGGATGAAATCATCTCACCAGATCTGTGTAAGCTGCCTCTGTTATGGCCTGGGGTCAGCTGATGTCCGCTCCAACAACCACCAACAAGCTCGCGCAGGTTTAGAAATTTACTGAACATTTCAATAATTTATGCCAGAACAAATACTTTTTTTTTTTTTCAAAATAAGCATTACTCTATCAGAAGGCTTAACTCTGACTAAAGTATGGCAGAAAGAACATCGACCCAGAAAAAGCAGCAAAGGGTTGTAAAACGTAGCAAAAGTTAGCTTACATGAGAAAACTGGATCGGATTCTCAGGCTAAAGGGATTCTGAGTCAAAGAAAATATGAAAAATATGTGAGATGTTATCTCTGAAATCAAATTACCACTAATAATAAAAAATTAAAATCAACATATGAAAACAGAACTGTTTATTAACTAATGTTTCACTACATCACCCCGGTTCTCCAACAGCTTCACTGGCTCCCAGTTAAATTCAGGTCCATCTTCAAAATTCTCCTCCATACCTTCAAAGTCATCCATAACCTCTCTCCTCCATATATCTCAGACCTTATAAGTATTCACACCCCATCCCGTTCTCTCAGATCTTCTTCTTCTATCCATCTTGCAGTTCCTTCTGTCCGTCTCACTACCATGGGGAGCAGAGCTTTCAGCCGCTCTGCTCCCCGTCTCTGGAACTCACTCCCCCCAGACATCAGGAACATCGACAGTTTCACCCGTTTCAAAACCAAACTCAAAACACACATGTTTAAATCTGCCTATGACCTCTAATTTTATTGAACTGTTTCTCTCTTTGTTTTTTCTTCTTTGCATTTTATTGTGGTTTTATTGCTGTTTTAATGTATTTTCTGAACATATTTTCTGTTAAGTGACCTTGGGTGTTCTGAAAGGCGCTTTTAAATAAAATGTATTATTATTATTATTATTATTATAAAAACACTACAACCATCGGTTTTATTTAATTATGAGATTCTATCTAATATAACCCTAATAAGACACAAAACAGCTCCTCGCCATTGTATATCCTCCACCAGGGGGCAGTAGACAAGTATAGGACAAGACATGTCAGGCTTCTTGTGAAGGTACTAATCCTGATGCTCCATCTGGATGCTTTAAGTGGTTTAATGAGAGTGTGTGACTGTTTATAATGGAGCTCCAGTCCATTAAATGTTACAGCTGTTTAAACACAAGTTGTCATGTTTGCATTACACTGTTATTTCATAACATTTATGAGGAATTTCTGACCAGATTAGATCCCTCGATGCACCAGAAGTGCTATAATTTACTAGTCTAGTAATCTAGACAAACCGTGGCGGTAGAAAAAAGATTTTGCTCTGCAGGTAAACGGCTTTGGCATCAACTTTGGATGATTTCAGCCTGGGCTTTTCTTTCAGACACGAGCAGATAGTCAGCTTATTTCAAAAAAGGAGGGTTTTGTTTGTTCGATGGAGACTGCCCTGATTGCCGTAGCGTTGAATAGGTCATAGTGTTTGTTGCTCTGATGGATCTTAGCGCTATCAATTTGTGTGCAGAGACAGTCTGAAAGACAAGGTTGTTTCAGTGGCTTGTGACCAAATATTTAGGGTGAGATGTGAAAGTTTGGGCAGCCATGTTAATCTTTGTGATTTTCCTGTACAAATCGTTGGTTGTTACTATACAAAAATTCAGTGAAACATATAATATTTGGGCCATTCCCATCTGTACCGGGTCGGCCTGGGCCGGGTAGCGTAGGTTGTTTACATATCTGGGTGGCCTGGTATTTTTCTGGGCCAACTAAGGCTCATTCTCAGCCCTCTTCTCGAGGGGGTCTGCTTCAGGCCAACCAGGGCCAACACACCCACTGCTGACAACAAATTCACACCTTCCATTAGAGCAAGCCTCTGATTGGTGGGTAGAATCAGCCCACATGGGCTTAAGGCAAGGATGTGTGGAATCAACCGGGCCAGGCTGGGGCCGACTGGGGCTACCAGGCCCGGGCCAACCCGGTACAGATGGGAATGGCCCATTAGAAAGCACACACAGTGATGTGTGAGAAGTGAAACAAATTTTATAGGATATACAGAAAGTGTGCAATACTTGTTTAAACAAAGTCAGGCAGGTGCATAAATGTGGGCACCCCAAAAAAGAAATGAACACAATATTTCACAGAACCTCCTTTAGCAGAAATAACAGCCGGTAAACGCTTCCTATAGCTTCTAATGAGAGTCTGGATTCTGGTGGAGGGTCATTTGGACCATTCTTCTTTACCAAACCTCTCTAATTCGTTCAGGTTTGATGCTTCTGAGCATGGACAGCTCTCTTTCACTCACACCACAGATTTTCAATAATATCCAGGTCTGGAACTGAGGTGGCTATTTCAGAGTTCTACTTGTTCCTCTGCATAAACGCCTTAGTAGATGTTGAGCAGTGTTTAGGGTGGTTGTCTTGTTGAAAGATCCAGCCCCCATGCAGCTTCAGCTGCCACAGATATCTGTACATTGGTCTCCAGAATCTGCTGACATTGAGTGGAATCCGTGCGTCCTTCAACTTTAACAAGATTCTCAGTCCCTGCACTGGCCACACAGCCCACAGCATGATGGACCCACCACCGTGTTTTACTGTAGGTAGCAGGTGTTTTTCTTAGAATGCTGTGTTCTTTATCCTCCATGCATAACACTCAGTGTTCATGCCCAAATAACTCTGCTTTAGTTTAATCTTCACTCATGGAGGTTCTAACTTCCACGCGCGAGTCCCGTTCGCACGTGCGATGTGAACAATACGCGTACACGAGATATGGCGGAATTCTGACGCCATATGAATCAGTCCACAGCACCTTATTCCAGAATGAAGCTGGCTTGTCCAGATGTGCTTTAGCGCACCTTTTTGTCTAAACCTGTTCCATGAATTTATTTTTTTAAATAATTCCACTGAAGCATAGTTGAAAAGCAATGTCTGACTTTCATTAATTAAGTTTCATACAATTTTCATTTATCACTGTTGTCAGATTCAAGTTATTTCTGTGACCATTGTGTGTTTTCTTTCATTCATCAACTGGTACCAACAGATTTATCCATGTGTGTATGCTGAAAGGTGTAAACTATTTCTCTAGAGTCTAGACTGAGGCTATTAGGAATGGGGTCAGCCACAATTAAGATTGTGCACCTGGCAGTGGTTACATCCTTGTAGCAGGAAACTAAAACCACTGAGGCCAGCTACTGATCGGAATGATGACAGTCCCACACCGCTTAATGAGGGGCTGATCCTTCAGCACATTTAATGATTGTTCACTTCTCGTTTACTGCTTGTGTAGCATGGAAAGAAAAATGTGCAATTCATTCCACCAGAAATCCCTAATTTTATGTAATTGACTTAAATAATATATTTTAAATTTTACTTACCCTAAACAATTGTTTTACATTCAACATTCTCGTTTTAAATATATGTTTTTAGACATTTTGAGAAAGGTTTGTTTGGGTCTTTTATTTTGAATATCCTCGTTCTGTGACGTCACTTCCTCCCGCTCCAGTCGGTTTGAGAGGCACCTGGCTGCAGACCTGCAGACCGACACTGTCAGGCTGCTTCCGGTGGAGGCTCCACTGTCAGGACGGGAAATGCACGGGATACGTTACAAAATAAAACTGCAAACGTACTTACGCTTGTAATTGATAGGTTTCAATATAAAATATTACGTAAAATCTATCAATTATTTCTCTATAGTTAATATGTAGTTGTCATTTAACATACTTACGGTTGTAATTTTTCAAAATGAATTAACGAATGGCCAGGGTAGGTTTCAACATAAAACGCTAATATACTTCCGGTCGTCATATTTCTAAATAAAATCCCAAATGCTGTTTCGGTTGAATCGCTCTCCTCGGAAACGCATTCATTTTTTAATATTACGTCTTAGATTATGACAGAATATATCATAATGACTACGTTGTGCAACAGTAAAGGAAAACACACAACAAAAATGACAAACAAAACTAAGGTTTACTAAATAAATGACAACTATATATGAACTATAGAGAAATAATTGATAGATTTTACGTAATATTAAAAAATTAAATGTGTTTGTGAGGAGAGCGATTCAACCGAAACAGCATTTGGGATTTTATTTAGAAATATGACGACCGGAAGTATGTTAGCGTTTTATGTTGAAACCTATCCCGACCGTTCGTTAATTCATTTTGAAAAATTACAACCGTAAGTATGTTAAATGACAACTACATATGAACAATAGAGAAATAATTGATAGATTTTACATGATATTTTATGTTGAAATCTATCAATTACAAGCGTATGTTTGACGTTTTATTTTGTAATGTATCCCGTGCATTTCCCCTCCTGACCTGACAGTGAAGCATCCACCGGAAGCAGCCTGACAGTGGAGGTCTGCAGCCAGGTGCTCTTGAAATTATTTTGCAAATACTGCACAACCGAACAAAACCAGTTTATTTTAAGCTCTGGCTCAGGATGTGGTATTGTGGT